AAAAAAATTACATAAAAAATAAAACTTTTAAATAGTTGATTTGATATTAACATTAATATATATATATATATTTTAAAATTTTATGATATCTTCAAATTTATATATTATTCAAAAATAAAATCATTATTGCTTTTTTAAAAACACATAAAATCGTATTATAACATCAACAGTGACAAAAAATAAAATAGAATATTAAAATCGAAATGTATTTCGTTGCATTGCGCGAGTACCCTTCTAGTTATATTATAAAGCATTTGTTAAAAAAACTCTTAAAAGTAACCTTTTAAATATTATGTACTGCTATATAATGTTAATTACTTAATTTTCAAATTTATAATTTCTCAATGCTTTGGTACAACTTATTGAAACACCTAAGTGGGATTTAGATAACTTCCATCTTTCATCAAGAGCTAACATTCATCAATATCTTTATAAGTTGCTAACCTTCATCCATATCCTGATATATATATATATATATATATATATCGATTTCAACAGATTTAGAGATGGATATACATATGATTTCAACATATTTAGAGATGGATTATACATATATATATATATATAGAGAGAGAGAGAGAGGGGGGGGGTTATTATGCAACCATTTACATTTGTACAACCAATACAGCTCAATCTCAATCGTCCATTTAATTTGATGAATATGTAATCTCATAAAAGTTTAGATTGTTTTCAAATATAAAGTATTGATCATAATTAATGAACTCTATTAATCTTCCATAATCATTCAAATCATAATAAATGAATTCTCATCATTTCCATAAATATCTCAATTTATTGGGTTGCATTGGTTGTACAAATGTGATGAGTTGCATTTGAAACGTCATATATATATATATATATATATATATATATATATAGGCTCATTCAAGAGAGAACTGATTAATTTGTGTTAACTGTGAGATCCAATCTCAATCACAAATCAATGGATAAATTAGGAAATTAATAATTATGATAGTTTGAGTTAAAATTATAATTATAGAGCATTTTAGGTATTTTAAAAAACTCCTCTCTCATCTCTCCAATCTTAGGTCTCCAATGAACATTAATCCGGCAGGTACCAAGTAATCACAAAGATACACAATGTGATACCCATTGTGATATAGTGTGATACCATTGTGATACCAACTATGAGACCAACTCAAACCTTTAAAACAAAGATACACAATGTGATACCCATTGTGATATAATGTGATACCGATTTCACTGGAGGCCGGAGATTGGAGGTCGGAAAGATGAGAGAGGAAAGAGGAGAGATGAGAGAGGAAAGATGAGTTTTTAAAAAAATATCTAATATGCCATCTAATTATAATTTAACTCAAACTACCATAATTATTAATTTTCTAATTTATCCGTTGATTTGTGGTTGAGATTGGACCTCACAGTTACCACAAACTATTCAGTTCTCATTTGATTAGACTCATATATATATATATATATATATATACATATATATATATATGTATATATGTACATATATATATATATATATATATATATGTACATAGGGGCCTATTCAAGGGAGAACTGAGTTGTTTGTGGTAACTGTGAGAACCAATCTCAACCAATCATTTTAACATATTAATTATACAATTAAAATCAAATTAAAAGGGTATGTTAGTCAATTCCTAATTTAAAATTAAATTTTAATTTTTTAAATGCAACCGTTTCAAATAAAAGAAATTAATATTGATTTACATTCCTAAAATAAAATATTAATATCATTTAGTGAAATAGTTTCAAAAAAATAAATCCATTTGTGTAAACATGTTCATTATTCTGATGAATCACATGAAATCACA